AAAAAAAATCTAGATAATACTGAGTCCTGCTTTTCTACTTTGTTTCGATTTAAGCATTCAAAAACAGATATTAAGAATCCAAAGGCATTAATTACTCAAGAATTCCTAAACCTAAAAGGAGGGTAATTACAAGTCACAGACTATGTTTTTACATGAAAACTTATTATTTTGAATACACAGTCAGATTCTTGGTGATATGAAGAACCAAAGATGTGGGCTGATTGAATTGAATCTTGTGAAGTTCATTGTGAATGAGCAGGAGACTGAGAAGGAGACCATGAGATGAAATAGACGCCATATCTAACTATTGCTTAACATTTGTAATTCTAAGAAGTACCTTGTTTCTGGAGTTTTGAAAATATGGGGAAACAAGCCCTTTCTTATTTCTGTTACACAGATTTATTTCTTTCCTCCACAAGAGCCATGATTTCCATGCATGAATTAAAAAATCAGCTGCAATATTTGGGAAATTTTTCATGATAAACAGTGCAATAAAAAATTAGATTAAAAGCAATCAAGAGTGTATTGGTCTCAAGATACACTTCAATCAAGAAGATTTCAACCTTTTGTGTAGGGTGGACAATAAGAATGGAGTATTAATATTTATTTGGTGGGTCCACTGTAACCGACTTCTACCAGGCTGATTGCTGATCTCCTAGAAAATGGTTGTCTACTGAGGGCTCAGCATTGGCTTTTGCTGTTATTTGTTGGGCACTCAGCAGTGGTGGAAGCCAGGTGGTTGATTCAATGTATAATCTCCATACCTGCTATCAAAACCACTTTGTGTAGAAGCCCATTGAGAAAGTAGTAATTGAGAAAGGGTAATTGAGAAAAGAGATTAACTAGCATCCATTCAACATACTGTTTTCTCTGGACCTCTTATAAAAGGTAAGACTGAGATGGAGCAGCTAATGCCTTGTGAGGTCAAGTGTACTTAATCAGTGCTGTCTATCATGGAGCACGCAGCTATTTGTTCTTACCTGAAATAGACTTTTATTCTGGATATACCTTTCCTGTCCTCAATGCTCCTGCCAGCACCACCATCTATGAACTTACAGAATGACTTATTTACCATATTGGTATCATATTATAACATGCAACATTTTTTTGACCAAGACATAGCAAAATATGTTTACGGAATTAATGAGCATTATTCTTTACCATATCATGTAGACTGTTCGTTTTCAATAGGTGTAATACTGCCTCCATAAGAGGCAAAAAGTGGTTTTATGGGGCAAAACAAAATCTTAGCTATTACAACGATTAGGGAAAAATATCTTACAAGTTTCCTTGGGGGTAGAGGAATAATGAAAAAGAGGAAAATGGATGAAATGTTGTTTTTTAAAGAAATTAAATTGAATGAAAAAAAAATTTTTAATCCTGTAAATTGGTCGTGAAGCCTAGAAACTTGTTCAGATTCAGGTTCAATATTTTTGGCAAGATAATGTCATAGCTGGTGGGGGTTTTATTTGACAAATTAAGAATTTACAGAATGAACAGTCTATACACATTGGGTTGTCGGAAAAGTCATGACACATTTTTGCAATGAAAAACATAGAAAAAATATGTCATGACTTTACCAACAACCCAATACAATATATATCTTTTTAAAACTTCAATTTGAAGGAACAAACATCACCAAAAGGAACTATGCTCACTGGTTTCTCCACTTCCTGAACATCATTAATAGCTGAAGCATGATTCTATAAAAAGAGCATTGAACTGGTCTCCAGAGACTGAATCGTCATGCCAGCTTGGTCAGATCTTTTCAAGTCCACCAACTAGAAAATTCTAATACCTATGATACCCTTTTACTCATTTGTTTATCAAATTCATGTTTCCATTTACTCAGTTATTGAATTCATTGAATAAGCAGTTTTGAAGCTCCTGGGCCTGTCATTTGCACAGGCCCTTTGAAGTCCCAGGGGACACTCTGGCAACATATCCACATGGTCACATGTTTTTGTAAAACGTACAAAAATAAAGACATGTTAGCTACCACCAGTTAACGCCTGTGTCTTTTTCACTCCAGCTTCCCCTGTCACACTTTCCCTGTGCCGGTTGTGTTGGAGTGGCCGCAAGCACTTCTGAGATATGGTGTAGAGGAAGTTGAGTCAGAGAATCTATTTAGTGATGGCTTCTTGGGAGAAAAAAGAAAATGAGAGAAATGAGCTAGAAGCAGCTGCCTTACAGAAAGCTGGCAGGGCCTAACAGGACTCCTGTTATAGACCATCTCAGAGACAATGTCTTAGGAGGTTGTGCATCATCTTACAAAATGTGGTGTACGTTTCTGGCAGTAACCAGTTTCTCCCCTATTTAGATATTTGTATCATACTTAGAATATTTGGATCTGGGGACCAAGGGATGCTAGTAGGAGCGACTCCCACAAATTGTGATATGTTGTGCCTTAAGTATCATTTAATTCAAAATATTTCCACATTACTGTGTAATTCTTCTTTAATCCATGTGTTTTCAGAAGTACATATTTTAATTTCCAAATATATAGGGGACTTCCTAGTACCTTTATGTAATCTCATCTTTTTATCTCTTTCTAATGTAATTCTGTCATGATCAGAAAAATAGACCATGTATGATTTTAATTTTTTGAAAGGTATTGGAAACTAGTTTTATGGCCCCACTTTAACAAGTACTTCAAAAGGATGTACGTTTTATAGTTGTTGGCAGGAGTGTACTAAATAAATATGTTTGTTAGGACAAGTATATTCTCACTGACATTTCATCTATTTTTCTATCAATTACAGACAAAAAAGCTGTTAAAGTCTCCTAGTATGACATGCCCATTTCTCCTTTAGGCCTATACATGTTAACTTTATATACTTTACAGTTCTGTTATAAACTACATACACTGAGGAGTCCAACTCGGGGCTCAACAATACGGGCGATCTTTCATGCTTGACCACAGACAATGACGGGCTTTGCGTGACAGGACTCACAGCGAGAAGCAGTCCTGTCCACACCAGGTTTACACACAGCCAATGAATTCATTTTCTGGAGTGAATTTCAGTCAAGGACTCAGGACCACCAGGGAGAGACATTCTCATATGCTTGCCAGCCTTTCTAGCCCAACACATTTATTTGAAGGACTCTATATCGGCATCTCAACTGAGGCAGTTTTCTCCACTTTGACTCGGTACCTTTTGCTCTTTACCCCTCCCTCCTTCCTTCTGGTCCAAGGTCCATAAAGAGGCAGGAGCCTTTTGTTTAGGGCTCCTTGGCAGTGAGGCGATTCCCCCATCTGCACTGCATCCACCTGAGTCTCACCCACCGCCATTCCGTGAGGAAAAGTGCAATTCTTAGGTGCCTGGTTTTTCTGTCCCTTGCTTGCAATATCACAATAAGTGAGCCAGGTTTGATTGTGACCTTCACTTTGGCTCATTGTCCCCATTGGCCACCTCGATACCTGATTGCTTGAAATACACATTTAAGACTATTATAGTCTCTTCATGAATCGACCATTTTATTATTAACATTTGTAAGAATATAAATATTATAATATGAATAAATATAAATATATAAAATTTCCATTCTTCTGGTCGTACTCTTTTTTTTTTTAAGAATTTATTGGGGAATTGGGGGAGTGGAACAGATCAGTTGCTGTCCTTTTGTTCTTCAGTCTAGTTGTGGAGGACGTGGCTTCACTGGCCCATGTTGGTATTATCATTGTGCTCTTCCTGGGTGAGGCAGTCACTCGCCGGCCATTGGGCGGCCACTCACAGTGGCTCACGGCAGCTCATGAAAGCTCATGCCCGCTGCTGGCCAGCCCTACTGCAGTTTACGCTGTTGCCGGCGACTCATGGCAGCCCAGCTCCAAGTCGAGCTGTTGTTCACCATCTTAGCTGTAGAGGGCAGCGTCACTGGCCCTCATGTGGGATCCGAACCGGGGCCCTGCTGCTCAGAGCTGTCATCCCAAGCCTAACCAATGCACCACTCAGCTGGCCCAGTACCCTTTTTTTGTGTGTGAAATCTACTTTGTGAGACATTAAAAGTCTTGCAAGATTTTCTTGTGATTAATATTTTCATTTCATTTTGGGGGAAGATCTCAGTTTTAGATTTTCTGCTGTGGCTTAATATTAAATATATATGGAGGTGATTATACTGTCATCAGTAATTATGTATATCGTCATAGCGATATGCTGATTTTATCACTTTTGCTTGCTATCTTGATCTCTTTAACACTGTTAACGTTGTCAAGATAATTTTGAAGAATATTTCTACCTTAGAGTTTCACCAGGAGTTTCAATTTAACATTATTACTATTTCTATTTTTTTCTCAAATGAATCATGTATCATTGCAAGTAAAGAGCTTCTATTCCAAGGTGCTGACCAATTAACAGCTTATTGATAGTCTTGCGCAATTAGGAAGGTGCTGACCAATTAACAGCTTATTGATAGTCTTGTGCAACACCCGGCTAGATCACATTGGTCACTCATCACTCTGAAGTTTATTCAGAGAGACAGGTGCAAATTTTTCTGCCTCTGGTTGCATTGCTTAGCACCTGATAAGCAATCTTTATGCATGAATTTCAGTAATAGGATATAATATTGAGTTGTCAGAAAAGTCATGACACAT